TTTTTCAGCTGAAGCTCCATCGATCCATCTTTTTATGGTTCGTCTGCAAAGGGGAAGATTCTCAAAGGCTTCTGTTGTCTCAGGGCGTGTCAGCAGAGCAGAGTCCACCACACACTCTTTGGTAAACTCCCCCTGAGAGGATGGCTTATTGTTTTATGCAATTTTGTTTGGCAATCACAAAGCTGGTCTCGAGTGCTCCATCTCTGGCTGTGTAAATCTTTATAAAAACTCTGCTTTTCTTTTTAAAGCTTTGCTTGCAAATCTTCAAATGTCCATTCGTGCTCAGCACCAGTGCATTGCTGTATTTCTGTGGTTCTCTGGTGATTCAAATTATAATCCTTAAACGCAGCGATCGGCTCTCAGCACACAGCTTTGCCTCTGACGGTCAGGAAATACTTACAAGTTCACATCAAGAAATACTTTTTTTTCAGGTGCAGCACAACATAACATTGGTTCCACCACATTTCACTTGTATATATGTACATGCATACATTTAACAACAAAGGAAATGGTACCTTCAAAATAAAAGAAATAACGTTGTATTGTGATTTCCCACAAAATCTCAATAAACAATGAGCTCGTGTTTGACACACAGTGTTTCTAAGAATGTTTGGTTGATATACTTGTGTTTGAATTTCCCACCGACCCCACATAGGCCAGTCAGGGGCAAGGAAGGATCGAGGGGTTGTAAATGCCCAGGACGGGATTATCAGGTTGACACTGTGGCAGTCTGACATAGAAAGAAGAAAAATAAAATGATATAAATGAAAAAGAAAGAAAAGAGTTTCCAGATGTGTATAATAATAATGATATGAATGTTTATTGTAGTAAAAATCACAGGGCTTGGACCACAGGCTGAAGCTCAATCATAGAAATGGACAAAAACTCTTTAAATTGTTGGTGAAACATGATTTACTGTACAGACAAAGTAACCATGTTTGAACAGGGATATGAATGAAAAAGACTATTAAGTCTTCTCTATAACTTAAATACAATTCAAAATAATTTGGTTTTCTATTAAAATATCTTTGGGTGAAATGAAGAACTTTCAGATATGAAGAAATGCAAACTTTGACTGTAATTCCACTAATAAACCAGTTTTGTTTGTGGTGATGTCCTGAGCTGTGGAAAGAATAAAACAGACATCGGTGGAGGCCTTCTGTTGGATGGTGTCACTGAGAAAAGCTGCTTAAATAAATATGCACTGCTTAACACACTGAGGATTTAAGTGACTCGGAGGCAGAGTTGGGGTATCATAGTGAGGCTGAAGCAGGGGAAGTGTGTGGGCTCCACAGGGCCCTGCTTTAGCTTTAGCGTGGCACCACACTGGAGTCCGATCAGCTCTGCCTGGATGTTTACAGGTGCTTTTTACAGATCAGCGGCAGGTGGATTACTGAGCAGTTTGCACTGTTCAGGCTCCTCCTTCACTTTCCTCATGCAGCTTGAAAAATTCATTGAGCATTTTTTGACTTAGCCATCGCACCTCAGTATGATAGGACCCAGATCTAAACCAGTGGCCTTGAGAAAGCTAACCGAGTGTTGGCCGGCTCATTAAATGTTCAATATTCAGGGATTTACTGCATAGTGTTTCCTGGTTTATGATGCAGTGATTGGACGTCTCTCTCTGCATCTTTTCATCGTGCATCACACCCACTCTGTCTGTTGTTAGTATCATAAGTTTGTCCAAAGGCAGTTTCATGTCTTTTGTACATTTCAAAGATCTATTTTCTTGTGCTCCTTCCATGCATTGATTGAATCCTCAAAAGTTCCTGTTTAACACATAAAGTGGATGAAAATGACCAACTGTGAAGCATCAGTCAGTGCTCTTATCCACAGCAAGGGTGTGTGTGATGAAGCCTTTCCATCAACTGTGCTTTTAAGTGGCACGCTCACGCACACCATCAGCAGCAGTGATGGTGTACGTGAGCTCAGGCAAACGTTTGAAAATGTCAGAGCACGAGACGTCGCTGCCGAGCCGACTTCGATATCTCGTCTGCCTGTAAAACCTTCGCTGCAGCTTCACTTCAGTGTGTTGTAGGATCAGACGACTCTTCTGTCTCCCGTAACTGTTGCTGTGTATTTTGTGCACTTGTCCTGATATTTTGTCACACGGTGCCGTCTTATGTTATATTGTTTAACTACGACCACATTAGCTGCACAAACAAAGCACACAGGTTTACCAGCAGCGTCTGCATCCCACCATGTTTTGGTCATTTCTTTTAGGGGTTTGCTTTAATTGAGTGAACTCAGACTTGCATCCATCTGCTTGGCCCTGACTGGTCGAAGTGGACAGGGGAAAGAAGTGATTGGTGCTTGCAGGGACACCGACTGCTGCGCTGCATTATGGGGTTTGCAGTATGACTGGTGTGGGTGCCACATACCCCCTAATAATTGAAATATGAAATTATATTGTGGGTTAGAGGTAACTGTATTGTGGGCTAAATGTGGCCCGTGGGCCTGGAGTTTGACACGTCTGACTTAGACCTTGGAGGGTTAAGTGGAAAAAGCCTTTCATTATGATAAATGCACAGTAAATGAAATGCATTTGTCAGAGAGCTAAGCACTTACTGCTATTGCTCATCAAAATTGCGTATGCAAAAAGTTATTTTCATCATTTTTGGACAGCTGGTAATACAGCAAGTAATGGAGCAAGACGCCCTGTTAGCCGCTGGACGAGAGCACCTGCTCACAAAATGAAAAAGACCAAGCAGTGCCTGGTTTCTTCACTAAAACAATGCTTTTTGTTGCTGCACCCAGTGTGTAAGATGACACTTGTTGCTACCACTGACAACTAGGTGTGTTGGTGAATGAGCCAGGATGGAAAGCTTTCAGATTCCCACGTTTAAAGACATTTAGTGAGTGTGTCTGGGATGAAAAGCATTGTTTCTGTAGGAATGTAGGAATATTGTAAAGCACTGAGCTAAGAACAAATGTCCTTTAAAAACAAACAAAACTTACATCATAACCAAAAGTGCACCCTTCATTTTTCTCTAAAGTCTTTAGAGGATGAAAAATTAAAAATCCAGCGGATGCACATTCCTGTTTAAGTATTGTGGTCAGAGATGCTCGTTCATCGTGGTAATGAGTGTGAAGGTCAGTTTGGGGACATTAAACCAAATCTTCTTTGGGTCGTATGTATATATATATATTTGCCTTTATGTCCAGGGATCAGAGAAGAACCCAGTTCTGCTGTTTTCCACCCTGGAACCAGAATGGCTTAAAGAAAACATTAAATCTAAAATAACTATATGATTGACGGCTGTGGTTAGTGTACAGTATGTAAGCCTCTGCCCTGAACTGCAGTTGGAAACACTGCACATGTGTAAATATTTCAAGTGTTCACAGAAAATGGCACTTTCAGCCTGTGAGTGTCAACACTACTCATCTCTAGCAGCTCTGCGTTGGTCTGCATAGAAACACGTCGTCGTAGCACTTCTGTGAATGCGGCCGACGACGATCGGTTTGTGGCAGTTGATGTAATTTTGATTTCAAGAGAGATTAAGCGTTCCTTCTCTGCTCACACTTGTTTGGATGTGTTTATAGTCAGGGTTCATTTGGCTATAAAATTCGAGCGTCTGAACCTTACATGGAGATTGTGAGTCAGCTTCAGAGGATTTTCAGTTATCCCAAGCCATGGAGCAGCTTTGCAGACAAATTATCCTCCATCCATAAGTCTCCCTGACTGACAGCTGGGCATTTGGCTCGGGACCAAAACCTGTAAACAACAGCAGAGTCTGTAAGATGCACAATTTGCACACGGAGAAACTTTCTGTGCACTCACACAGCACTTCACATCACCTGCCAATTTGAGAACATGTGTCAGAATATCAAAGTATCGTTGGTTTGTCTCACATCTTCAAAGCTGTCAAGGTTTCATTGTGAATGTGAGGACTGAATGACGGAGCAGAGCAATTGACTGGGCTTTTAAAGCTCTGTGCTCCTTCAGAGCAGAGCTACTGTTGAGGAAAGGATGGATACAGATGGAAAGAAAGGTGAGTTATTTAGTGGGAATCCAGCAGGATCAAGGAGACTTTTGATAGATGAAGACAAACAGGGTTGCTTAATAACCCCAGTTCTCGTGGTGGAGTTAAGATGCCAAGCCGCTGCTCTTACTTCCCAAACGAACATGTGCAAATGTGCTGCAGCTCAGCCATAACTTAAGTCTTGGACAAAACAGCGTGATCCACTTTAGTCACACTTGAAATCAGGATTAGAAAAATCTCTTGGCAAGTGATCTGAGAGAAGTCAAATCAGGTCAGTCGAAATTCAGTGGGACACCCGAAAAGAGAGCGAGCTCATGCTGTCAATTCTGCTGTGCTGTTTTCAACCAGATGGATAGCCAATTGCAGCTCCAGATGTGCTTCGAATCCATCTGAGCACAAAGGAGGATGACATCCAAAAACAAAAGGGCCTCCCTCTCACTCTGAAGAGCGAGTGCCACACTGATTGAAAGAGTGAAGGGATAATTGCAATCAGGCCAGTGCCAGTTTTCATTACGTCCTCAGCCGCGGGTCTTAATGCAGCCCTGCACTCCAGCAAAGCAAGCCTTGGAAAAGAGGCTGTTGTTGTGCGACTCGGGGCTGTTCTGGCGAGCCGGGTGGATCAGATGAAGACAGAACCGACAGCTTTAGATCACTGGACTCTTAATCTGCTCCTGTCTGTCGGATGTGATGTAATCTCACAATGTGGGATTAAAAAGAGCACGCACAAACACAAAAGGAGCCCCGCCGTTTTCTGTGCAGCTTTCGAGGGTCACTGCAGGGGTTAATAGACTGTTTGAGGCATCTGAGCAGTGAGGCAGCCGTGTTATTTTCTCTCTAATTCTCACTTTAAAACTTCTCTATTGACAGGCGGAGGTACGCTTTAACCTGAAATGTTTAACTTTGCCGTTATCCATTTTCCATTATTACAGCCTGATCTATAGGCATGGCAAGCTGGAAAGTACACATACGATGTCGCAGACGCAGCATCTGAATTGGTGTTTTGTCTTTTATTCCCAGATAATTGTAACGGCCCTCTGGTATCGGCGCTGCCCCATTCATCCTTTCAGAGCTCCTCTGAGTCCTCCGTCAGCTATGCTGCCTACAACACCAAGCTCAACAGAAGAGATGGTGAGTACAGTGAATGTTCCTGCATTATTCAGCGTTTCTAAATGCTTGTAGTTAACAATAACCATAGAGGTAACAGAGCAGAAAACACTCAGCTGAAGTGTTTTTATAGTGGGTTTATGGGTTGTTTTGGAAGGCACAGACAAATAAGCTCTTAAGACTTTCTGAATCTATCACATGCAGCAATATAAAGGGGTCTGTTTACCTATTTGGAGGAGATGGCCCCTCTATTGGAAGCAGTGATGAGTAGGCCGAGAAATTCAACAGCCACAGTCGCCATGGCAACTCGAGGCACTGACTGGATGTTTTTTGCCACAGACTGTATGTAAAAGCTGTATGTGTGCACTGTGACATCACTCAGTGGTCAGCATTTTGCCGGCCTGCATGTATGTATGTACACGCACACACTAACCAAGCATCAGTAATCATCAACTAACATCAATAGAAACAGCTGTCAGAGGTGGAGCAGGTCACCTGCTCAGAGTATCCTTGGGTTCCCAATGCACTGATCAGAGTGGGAACGTTGGATACAAAGTACTGAAGCATAGGGGAAAAGAGCTGGTATGATCTGGTGTGTGAAGAGGTGAATGAGGCTTGTAGTAGTGCTTTGAGTGGGAAAGCGCTGTAGAAGAAGCAATCCATTTACTTATCCATTAGCAGAATTACTCAACCCTGGAAGAAAAGAGCAGTGTAACTGAACCGTCTGCAAACGTCACCAATAACAATAATAGATGCATTTATAGAGTTGACAATGAATTTTGTGGCCAAACTCAAAGTAGCCAAGAACACAACTCCCCTGGCTCACTGACAAAGTCCCATCAGATCTACCCAAAGCTCTGCTTAGTATCACTGAAACCATCGAGCCCTGAAACTTCACAAAAAGTAAAGACATTTCTGTTTGGTCAGTTATTTCTTTGTTGTAACACTGCTCGTGTGCAATAAACCATATATGGCGTTGGTAAGTCTGTTTGTTTCCCCTAAATGGTGCCTTATGGTAATTTGTAAGGTTTGTTTGTTGGCTGAGCAGCAGAGTTGAGCAACAGGACAACAAAGACATAACAGACCGAAATCAAATTTCCCTACTTTCTGTGCTAAGCTAATATGACTGGAAACCAGAATCTGTGTAGCTGGGAAGTTTGTTAGTCAGGCAACTGGTGCAGACGAGTGTCATGAGAGATAGGTCACAGCAAAAAAGAAAATATGCACTACATTGCCAAAAGTATTTTGTCACACATCCAAATCACAGAATTCAGGTGTTCCAATCATGGCCACAGGTGTGTAACATCAAGCACCTAGGCATGCAGACTGCTGCTACAAACATTTGTGAAACAATGGTGATTTCCATAGGTGCCACCTGTGCAACTATTCCAGTCGTCAAATTTCCTCACGACTAAATATTCCACAGTCGACTATTAATGGAACTTTAAGTGGAAGCGACTGGGAACAGCAGCAGCTCAGCCACGAAGTGGTCGTTCATGTGCAATCACAGAGGGGGGCAGCGAATGCTGAGGAGCATAGTGCACAGAGGTTGCCAACTTTCTGCAGAGCCAATTTCTACAGACCTCCAAACTTGATGTGGGCTTCAGATTAGCTCAAGAAGCATACAAACTGCACCCACAAGCCTTAATCACCTGGGCCAAAGCAAAGTATTGGATGCAGTGGTATAACTACGCCACCACTGGACTGTGGAGCAAGTGGAGACATGCTCTCTGGAGTGATAAATGATGCTTCTCCATCTGACAATCTGTTTGCTTTTGTTATATAGAAGTTTATGGAAAAAGAGGCCGTATTCTCCCTTCGTCTATGACCTCAGTAAACACCTGACTAATGTGCATGTTCATCCTTTCAGTTTACGTCAGTGGTCTGAATTTCTAGTTGCAAGTCAATTCTTATTGAATACAACATTAAATATAATTCGTAAGTTATTAAGGCCGTTACACACTAAACGTGTGCAAAATGACGCAGACCTGCCCTGTAACCTCTATACACACTGAATGTTGCATTTTTGCAGAAATATGTCCCTCAAAAACATCCACTGTGTAAAAACTAAAGCAAGTGGGCATCAGGCCATAATGAGTCCTGATGTTTCTGAACAAGAAAGGTAACAAAAAGCTGCGTCACAGATGCGTTCGTACATTTTTCAGGATGGTAGTGGTGCCTATTTGAACTCTTCTTAGCAGAGCAGTATAAAACTGCCAATCAAAAATAAATATGTAAATTATTGAATTAAATCTGTTAACTCTTATTAAAAACTTAGTTTATAAAAGATGATTTTTCAGCACAAGTTAAAAATGTAAATTTAAGACCAGAGTGCTGACACAGCCAGCATCTCCCTTCAGTGCTTCTGAGCAGCCGCTATATTAATTCATGCATCGAATAGTGTCAGCCAAGAAAAACAATTATCCCTAAAAAACAACCACATATCTTTGCTACAGCTGAACTGGGCATAGACCTCCACTGTTAGCCTGCAGCGGGCCCAAATGTAGGCAGAGGGCTGCAACAGAAGAGGTCGAAGGCACGTTGTGAAAGCAGTAAAAACAATTACCAGACAGGAAGTTAAACCCAGATAAAACTACATAAAAGGAGAAATAAACAGCAATCATGATGGGAGCAAGGAGACACTCAACAGTGAAACATTAATGGTTGAAGGGACACAGAATACAAGAAAAATGGAGGAAACTAAACCACGAATAACAAAACAGGGACTGAAGCTGACTTATTGGTTCTGAAAACCAAGAACTGAGAACCAACACCAGAACTGCAAAGACTAGAAAACTGTATAGAACGGAAACGTTCATAGAAACTAAACAGGAGCCAGAACCACAACCGTATAATAACAACTGAGGCTAAACAATGATAGGATGGAAAGACATGAAAACAGGAACCAAATGTAAAAAGAAACAAACAGTAAAATATGAAAAATCCAAACAGAAACTCACAACAACACAACGCTAACATGTCTTACATCTGGGCTCTCATCAGCTCTGTGGGGCAGATCAACCACCCCACCTGCCATAACCACACTCTCTGAGCAGCTCTGTGGGTCCGAGGCAGGCGCCCCTACATTTTGGTTTAATTCTGAATGTGATGCAGAAAGCTGCTCTATCTTTAACTCGCCCCTCAGTCATGCCACTTTTCCGTTCCACTGAACTTGAGCCTTTCAGGTAAAATAAAGCTGCCAGTGAATAAAAAGCATTGGGCTCTTTATTGGAACTTTGAACATACTGCATATACAGTGCATAAAATGAATCTGTTGTTTTCCACAGAAACAGGGGCTTTCACTGTGGCTGCTGGAGTGGAACTTAGCCTTGAAGCCTTACACATAAACTCCTCGCACGTACACATCAAGAGTTGTTGACAGAGTGCATGTGTCAGACCCTCTGCCTGTATTTTCTGCTCTTCTTCAGGTGCAGGAGGTTGGTCTCCAATGGTAACTGACCAAGAGCCCTGGCTCCAGGTGGACCTCAGGGAGCAGATGGAGGTGACTGCTGTAGCCACACAGGGACGCTATGACAGCTGGGACTGGGTCAGCAGTTACCTGCTGCTCTACAGTGACACAGGCCGGGCTTGGAAACAGTACAGACATGAGGATGGCGTAGGGGTCAGTATTTTTTATCCGCTTTCTCCACCTACCTACCTTCAGTTTGTTACTGACTTAAAGCTGATACAACAGTACAGCTGTATTATTGTAGGGTCTTTACCTTTCGACATAAAGCACCTTCAGATGACGCTTGTTGAGATTTTAATTGAGTTGAATTGAAACCAGCTAGCCAACAACTAATATGATCAGTCGAAGGGAAAAAGCCTATTCTGGAATGTTGATGGATAGGTCAACGGTTGGGAAATATGCCTATATGCTTCCTTAATGAGTTTGGAGTTAAATAGCTTTCAGACTGGAAGCTGAGAAAAAGCTAGCCAAGATCCAAAGGTCACTAATTAACTTGTGTATGTGACCCATAAAGAAACAACCAGCAATATCAAGTTTAGTTTTGAAACAAATACACACCGGAGGCATTTCTGGGCTTGGGGAACACTGTCTCTGTTTTAGGCTAGTGGAAGAAGTTTGCCTTCCAGGCTTTCTGCCAGAGTTTCTGTCAGAGAGATCGCAGGAAACCAGCAGAGACAGAATAAAGAGCAATGAAGCTGGATGAATTGGAGAGAATGGGTGTTTTACCAAGCGGACAGGGCTGTAGGTCCAGCTGTGCTGTGCTTTTAAGCCTGTGACAGAACCCTATGAGGTCGAGGTCATCACTGACTATGGCCTTAGTGTTTAGATTAAATATGTCACAGGTTAAATCATCAGTTAGGTTAACAGCCTACATGTTTTATAGATCGTTCACCTGTTTGCAGGGTTGTCACAGAAACATTCTAATGTGGACATGTAACATCTTTGTCCATTTCATATGTGACTAAAAGAAAATCTGATTGGCTCGTTGGATGTCACAAGGTTAATCACATAGCACCACTGCATACTTTTCCAGCACTGGTACGTTCTTAAACACTAACATAGCTATAGTTAGCTATAGTTAGCTATAGTTAGCTTTGTGTCACATGTTTCATTCTATGTTCATTTCTTGTGTTTTGTGGACCATCTGTTCCTGGCATTGCTGGTCAGTGTCAGTTAACATCCTCTCACTTCTGACACGTTTCAGGTGTGGCTCTGGTGTCAGTGCAGTTTTTTCTTTTTATCCCCTCTGTAATGTCGCAACATATTATGCCGGCCATACATGGATTCAGAGTCTCAGAAAATAGCCCCATGTTGGCACATGCCATTAATTCTTTATTGTGTTTGGCCCAGTTATGTCAAAGACTGTCAGCAAGACGGTGAATGTCTCTCAGAGCGTTTTCTTGTTTGGTAGTCCAATTAGCAGAGAGTGTTGTTGCCTACTGGCGTGGCACTGCTGCAAAGTGATCTTCTCTCTATTGTGTTGAATAAGGGCAATGATGTGTGGCAGGGAACAATATGTCTAGTTCTGTTTTAAATGATATATCTTTCTTCAAATACTTAAATATTTATTATCTACAATGCTCTTAAATGACCGTCCTGGACACTTTCAACATCAAACTTTCCTCCAGCAGCCCTTTGCACAGTACATAGTATTCAGTGATACGTTGTTACTATGTGGCACAGTGATGGTTAGCTCTCACAGAAAGAAGGTTCCTGGTTGTCCAGGCCTTTATGTGCTTTTATGGCCTTTATGTGTAAAATCCAACTTCTGAATTGGCCACAAACTCAAAGTCAGTGATAAGAGCAGGTGCTCCATGTGTATAGAATAAATGTGCTTGTAGTGTGAAGCCCTTTCAGTAAGACCAGACCACAGTGATGTAGAGTGTGAGTGACATAGCCTCAAAGTTATATCTGATTATTTCAAGAAAATCTGAAATAGTGATATTTCTGATAATAAAGAAAGGAGTAGTACAACGAAATGTTGGGCCTTCTTCAAAACCTCCGAGGTGTTTGAGCTCTGTTGGAGCTCTGTGTCTATGTGCACACCCAGGAGCTAGAACCTGGACAGCCTTTCCACACACTCCCCATTGATGCTGATGGGCTGCAGCTTGGACTTCCTCCTTCTGACGTCGACTACCAGCTCTTTCATCTTTGGTGATATTGAGGTCCAGGTTGTTGTCAGCACACCAATCTGACAGCCTCTGATCCTCAGCTCTGTATGCTGTCTCATCGCCCCAAGGGATGAGACCCACCACGTTGGTATCATCTGTGAACTAATATAGAGAAAATGCCAGTAATCCCAGCAATCAGACAGCCTTCAAGCACTTGGCAACAGTAGGAAGGAAAAACTCCATTTTAACATGTAAGACTGCGTTCTTCCATTTGTGCAACATCTCTAAAGTTAGAAATATCCTGTCTCAGAGTGACGCTGAAAAACTAGTTCATGCATTTATTACTTCCAGGCTGGACGACTGTAATTCATTATTATCAGGAAGTCCTAAAAACTCCCTGAAAAGCCTTCAGCTAATCCAAAATGCTGCAGCAAGAGTCCTGACAGGGACTAGAAAGAGAGAGCAGATTTCTCCTGTTTTGGCTTCCTGTTAAATCCAGAATTCAAAATCCTGCTCCTCACATACAAGGTCTTAAATAATCAGGCCCCATCTTATCTTAATGACCTTGTAGTACCATATCACCCTATTAGAGCACTTCGCTCTCGCTCTGCAGGCCTACTTGTTGTTCCTAGAGTATTTAAAAGTAGAATGGGAGGCAGAGCCTTCAGTTTTCAGGCCCCTCTTCTGTGGAACCAGCTTCCAGTTTGGATTCAGGAGACAGACACTATCTCTACTTTCAAGATTAGGCTTCAAACTTTCCTTTTTGCTAAAGCATATAGTTAGGGCTGGACCAGGTGACCCTGAATCCTCCCTTAGTTATGCTGCAATAGATCGTAGGCTGCCGGGGGATTCCCATGATGCATTGAGTTTTTCCTTTCCAGTCACCTTTCTCACTCACTATGTATTAATAGACCTCTCTGCATTGAATCATATCTGTTATTAACCTCTGTCTCTCTTCCACAGCATGTCTTTATCCTGTCTTCCTTCTCTCACCCCAACCAATCACAGCAGATGGCCCCGCCCCTCCCTGAGCCTGGTTCTGCCGGAGGTTTCTTCCTGTTAAAAGGGAGTTTTTCCTTCCCACTGTCGCCAAAGTGCTTGCTCATAGGGGGTCATATGATTGTTGGGTTTTTCTCTGTATCTATGAAGCGCCTTGAGGCGACTTTGTTGTGATTTGGCGCTATATAAATAAAATTGAATTGAATTGAATTGAATTGAAAACATGAAGAAACCTGGCAGAACCATGCTGAACGAGGCCCAGCCATCTGCCATGACTGTTTTTGGTTGATTATAGGGAGACAAATAAAAAGATGCACTATAACAATAACAAATAATAACCAATAAATTCCATGTCGTCAACCCTCTGAGATCTGGGTCATTACAGGTGTTTACCCTCCAGAGTACTGTGATTCCTCAATCAGATACAGGGCTCGCAATATCGCTAGCCCGACGTCCCGGGGCTAGCGATTTTTTCAGTCGGGCTACCAAAATCTATCTCTGCCCTGCCCGTCGGGCTATTGTAGGAAGGAAAAATATATGTCAATGCTTTTGCATTCTTTCGAAATGTAGCTGGGTAATTATGTCATTGGCATCGGTGAGCCACTGTCAATATGTGACATATTGAAATCGCGTTTGAATTTGCGCTTGTTTTTTGCTTTCACTTTGCAATCGCGAACTGTGTATAGAGAGCGACAGCACTGATCTGGTGAGTGATGATAATTTGCTGCACCAATTCCTCTGACATCGTCTTATCTAATCGTTAGCTTACTATGCAAACATGACAAGTGAAATCTCCCGCAGCAAGCTTAAACATGTGAGAGGTTGATCGCGCAGAGAATCGCTGAGCTTATGTGAGTCGCGTGTGTAAAAGCAGCAGGATATATATTTTAGTTCTGCTGAGCCAAATAAGACAGGTCAGGGTGAAGAAGTGACAGCCAAAGAAAAGCTTACCACAAAACGGAAAAGTTATGACAAATCAGACTATAAGGCAAAAAGAAAGTGCAGCTTTATGGTTTCATGGACAAAAGAATTTCTGTGGCTGCAATATGACGAGCTAAATAACCAGGGCTGCACATAAGTGGTCCGCAGGTGCGCATTCGCTGTCAAAATAAAAAACGCGCACAAGATAAGAAGTTGCAACGCGTGTTTGCGTACATAAGATTTTCAGGAGGAGGACAGACATTTGTTTAGAACTCTTAAAGATGTCGAAGAAGCTCCTTTAAGCAATTACTTTGGTGTTCCTCCACCTCCAAAGAAATGTCAGAAGGAGTCCGAACCACAAAAGAAGCGCGTATTCTCGGAAAAGTGGTTGCAGGAGGTGAGCTGGCTTCAAACAAATGATGAACGCACAGAGATGTGGTGCGAATGTGCCGTGAAAATCCCACTCTAGCGGACAAAAACAGTGCTTTTTATATGGACGCAAACGCGCGTTGCAACTTCTTATCTGGTGCGCGTCTTTTATTTTGACAGCGAATGCGCACATGCGGACCACTTATGTGCACCCGTGTAAATAACATAATGTTCTGCCGGGTGTGTTGTTGGTTTTCTCTCGATTTCTGAGTCGACAAGCGCCTTTGTTACTGGGACCAGTCATTTTAAGAAAGGCCCCCATTAGAACCCATGAGAAATGCAAGAAATGCATTATTGCTCAGTCTACAATATCTTTCCCAGAACAAACACCAATTGCAAATAACATACTAAAAATAAACCTGAAAATCTGTTTAGAACAGCGTACTATGTTGCAAAGAGTGAACTACCACTGGCACAATGCAGCAGTCTGTGCAAACTTCAAAAAGCAAACGGCCTCGATCTTGGTTCCACTGCGAGCCCTGAGCACCAGTTATTATCTCCATCTTGTAAGTCAGCAGTGAGTATTATAAGCTACTCACAGTGGGTTGCTGTGATGTCTTTATTTCTAGAAAAAAGTTGTTACATTTATGATTGAATAGAGATTTCGACACAAATCTCTCGTTTTCTACTCTCAGACTGCAGCAGAGCACCTTTGGTTGATTCAGAGTTTAGCAACTAATCCTGTCTTATCTA